TCTTTTTTCTCCAGGATTACACGTTAGGCCTTTCATCGTGATGGACTTTGATGATTTCCGCAATGTATGCCCTACCCACCTCCAGCATCGTTTGATAATTTCCTATTCAGCTAGAAGTCGGTTTGTTCACTGTCACAGTATATCTTTGCTAATGGTATCTAGTTAACAGATATTGAGTTTCCTGCATAGATAACTGTACCCTTTTTGATTATGGTTGTGGTAGTTCTACATATTTCAAAACATACAATAGAATTGCATTAACGTCTGTATCGAAAATTCTGATTGATGTTATGTGTAGAACTTCCTATATACTTTTTTTATATTTTAAAATTGATGAATCCTTCTCTATGTTTTGGTAAATTAACTTTACATAACAGCAAAATATGCTAGACGTATCCATTCCACAATCAACATTTTAGTTACTTGCAATGAGTGAATGTTTCTAACCCAGAAATTAAGTTCACTGATTCAATAATGAATGAGAAAAAAGAAACCTTTCTATCAGGTTTCGAGTTTAATCTAATTCTTGTTTAGATGTGTTTTTCGGCTTTAAAGTAGCTTAAAAGGAAGGGAAAGCTTTTGATTTATTTTTATAAAAAGAAACTTGAATCCCTACAGATCAGCTGAAAGAATTTCTCATTGTTTTATTCGAATGAAATTCTTGGGAAAATGTTACAGCTGTCTGAAATTAGTCACATGAAAACTAAAGTTTAGAAAAATTAGTATGTTTATTTTGGTTACAAAAAAAGATTGAGGAGTTTATTTCTTTTTGACGAGGAAGAGAAACCCTGTAGATAGTAACTAACGAAAATTATTTTCACGTAGTTTAATCATATATTTTTTGAAAGTTGAATGTCATTTATCTGTGCTTTGAAACATCAAACTTCTTTGTTATACCAGAATGTTACCGTTAGGATCAAAGATAAAATAAACTATTTGTACTCTGTATCAGCATTTATGGCTGTACCTCATGATCAACCATATACATAGTTTAATTGTACTGATTCTGTCCAAAATTTAACTGCACTTTTTTCAGTTAGTCAAGTGTTATATATATATATATAATGAGTAATTTTGTAATTCACAATACACACTGATCTTGGTTAAACAATCAGCGGAAAACAGGAAGCCTTGGATAGCTGCCTTGTTCTAGTGCGGAACTTCTGAGAATTACGCAAACAGGACAGCATGAAAGACAAAACTCAGAATATTTAGGTCTAGCGGCGAACGTTTTGCTGTTAGACTACTTAGTTGTCATTTTTAACATCAACAAATTGTTTTTATTACCTTACCATCACTGAATGTGCTTCATTTACTCACTTTATCGATCACGACTATTCACTAAAAATCTTGCAGTGACCTTCTAAATCAGTCATCATTAAGAAGATACTGTTTGCTGGTATACGGGATCTACAGAAACTTTTAATTTCTTTTTGGAATGGTCGGTCCGTGATGTACACCACAAAAATCTCAATGATTTACACAATCCTCCTATACTATCATTTATAAATTTTCAGGCTTTTATATACATTGAAAAATTTATTACTCGAGGAGGAAAATATCGATACCTCAAATCATGGTATTTGATTGAATCTTTTGGAGATATTAAAGATCAGCTTAAGTTATGTCATTAGCCCTGTAATTAGAAGAATTGTACCAGCTATTAGAGAAAATTGCTAGAGTGAAGCGTAATTAACATTTCTTTACATTCAAACATGTTGACAGTGGTCATGTGCTTTAGAATATTCAGCATTTAATCACTATCTTTATGTTTATTATGATAACTATTTCAATAAATAACTTTTATTCAAATATACATTCTGACCATTCTTGGCAAACAAAACCATCCAAAAAAAACAGTTATCACATATTTCATGGTGTAAGACATTAACTGTATAGACCATCTTTCTTAAAATAAATTATTTGTAGACCAAAAGTTTCGGATAACGGATTTCAACCAATAACAGGAGATCGGCTGTATAATGTTGATTAATGACAGTTTTAACATTCAAGGTTTAGTACATTAAAAAATGAAATACTACTGATAATAATGAGACGGTATTTTTTTTAAAGTAATGGCTTTGTGTTAGAGCACGATTAACAGAATAATAAAACTTAATTTAACGTTTTACCTACTCATTTCCATCGTTAATATAGATCTGACAGTTTGATAATTATATTTACTTATGTATTTTTTATAAGTGGCATTTAATAACATTTTTATCTCGCTATTTATATTCAGTAGTTGAGATCGTAATTCAGTTGAAGCTAGGTCACCATAGAAAACCTGGAAGCACTGGACAGCTGTTTCGTCCTACTGTGGGACTTCTCAGAAGTACGCAACCACTATCCCGCATCACAAGATTCGAACGCAGGACCTATAGGTCTAGCGCGCGGGCACTTAAACACTAGACCATTGGGACGGTCGGCATCCAACGGTGTTAATGTCTAACTTCAACTAATCCATGAAATCAAGCGACACATCCCTTGTTTTCATCAGTGAGTTACTATTTCACAACAAACCCGGTTGAAATCCACTGTCCACTGCTTCTCACTAAAACTCCAGGAAATATCTCTTGAAGCCAGTTAATCGTGAGCATATGTTGATTCGTATCAGAAGAAGTTTTGTGGATATTATAGTAAATTTAATAGTTAGGATCATTAGTCAATTGCGGCTAAACCACCATGTTTTCTGTTTTTCTCATATATGTATAAAACGAAAATGAACTAAGTTTTAAACACTTACAAATGGAAAAATAGTAGGTGAGAATATCATTCAGTAAATATTCTTATCTCTACAATATAAATTTTATTTACATAAGACAATCTAATGTAAATATACAAATTTAATTTATTGTCTAAGTACTTTTTTTCTTAGATATAACTAGTATTATTCACGTTCCAATAGTTTACAAGTAAAGACAATACACGTAGTTAGTATATCCATCGTTCGGATCCTTAAAACCTACCATTTGACTTTCAAAAAACTGAGATTCTGTTGTTGTTGTGTTTTTTTTTACCTTAAAATGTTGTTATACGAAGTGAATAAGCCGTTCAGTATTTTGTTGTTGTTGTTGAGGTTATTTTAATCACAATGACAAATTAAATGTCGAGTTTTAGATGATAACTTTTCAATAAAAATTTTATTGACTTCTATCTGAAGTTTGTGCTGATGATATTATTCATAAGAACGATGGAAGCTTCACGATCAAACCATCCAACTCAGAGAACAAAACTCCATCAAAATGACTTCCTGTATCATTAATCATTTAGATAGATAATCCAAATAATGATTTAGTTCTTTTGATTGGCTTTTCGTTGACCCCCCCCCCAAGTTACTACCTAAAATTCCTTTGGTCATATCAATTATAAAATTTATTATTTGAAGATTATTTTTGAAAACTTTAGTTGCTAATTATTTTTTTGAAGAATCTAGACATGTTCTTCTCTACAAGTATTCGAAGAATAAGATGTTAAAACTTATCATTGATATTCTTAGTTAACTTTCAAACAAAACTTCTTCACATTATCTATATCAAATTTCTATTGAAATCTATAGTGTTTATGCTGTGTTTATGACGATAAAATCTGATAATGTTCTTAAAAATAACCATGTTCACAAAATACATTTTACAACATCCAATTACATTTATATGGATATGGAGGATCCATCTAGGGAAGTTGGAAAACCCTGATTCCAAACTAATGATGAACATGGTCTCCAGGATCCTGAAGGAACAAACGACGTATGAACCAATTGTTGGTCACCGGCTACCATGGGACTGCATCTCCTGATGTTGCTCCACTGACTTATCGATCAGATCTTCAGGTTAAAAGCTCCGGGTATAGCCTCTTAAGAAAACCGCTTCGATTTGGGAACCTCAGCAGTATCATGACGCACACACAAACCAAATGATTTGTGTGGCTTGTATGTATTTGGTGCCCCTTTGTACCAATATTTATGTGATCAACTAATTTTTTTTAGTTATACAATCAAACTACGGATGTCTCTTCATTATATAACTAATTACAGATCATTTTAAAGTTATTTCATTGACTAGGCATATGGATAATATAATTGTAATTACTAACCTCATTGAAATAACTGAAAAGTTTCGTAAGTTATTTGTTAATTAATTTCTTAAAAGAACTACTAATTCCAATGAACTACGTTATAGATAGAGCATATCATTTAAACTATTATGTCACATATTATCATGTTACATATTAGTTCATTGTTTTCTTTTTCTATTATGAAAAACCATGTTTAAATTATATTGTACAATGGTATCAGCAATTAACTTATTGTTTATCATAAAGAGTTAAACAATTGTATACTAAAATGTTTAAGGTAACATATGTTAAATAAATCACAATAACTACTTCTAAATTAGTATAATATTGTAAAGTAATACTTCGTTGTTTCTAATTACAATAACAAAGAACTTGGTATGGGAATAGAAGTAATTAAACCCTAACAACAAGGTTCTAATTTATTGATAAATGACCTGTAAAACACAAGTTTATCAGTAGGCTAATATTGTATTCGAAATTTTGTATATAGACATGTTATTACTGAAAACCAATTCTGCTGGCTTATTGTTTCATTGTTCAATTTCATTTCATTTAAGTGTTGATATCAGATACCCGATATCGTTAACAAATATCACAAAATAAGTTCGTATTAATTGTGATGTGGCTTACTTATATCCACACAAGTAGTATATGATGGCGGTCAGGCATAGAATATATTTAGGTAGAAGGTCGATGAGGAAAGAACGGGAACGGAATGCGATTGGTATGAAAACGCATGAACAATGAAATCTGAGACAATAGATTAATGTTTGCAACAGGAACATTCAAGTTTGAGATTGATATTTTGCAAATTAACGGTTTACTATATAGTTCTCAGATTTTATTTTGATGCTCTGTAATTTCGTGTCAAATACCTTCGATTGTGCCCACTCGTGTTCTTGTTCACTACAAACAGATATCATTTATCAATCTGATTCTTCTCTATGATGATGACTTAGATGACCTTTTTTTAAAACAATCACATGATATTCTTCCGATTGATAATTAATGTTTATCCAACAGGCAGCTTTACAAATACCACTATTTGGTAAATTTGATAATTTAATAGTAAAACAAACTTTAATGTAAAAGAGAATATTAATTAAAGTAGATTTTTTTCCACTTACTTTTCTTTTCACCATGACCACATAAGAAAATCGAAGACAAATAATGAAACTTTTGAAATATGATCAACCGGTATGTTGTAAAAAGAAAGCATCATTAAAGGTGAACATAAAAGATCACACCATAATGATAGATCAAACAACTAGAAATTTCGCATTAAGTTCATTAGATATATAACACGTAAAGTTGCAATATTTTATGGATGCATAAATTCTAACTAAATAAAATGCATTATAAGCAATGATGGATTTTAGCTAGCAACGAAATCCAGGATGAGCGTTTCGTCCTACTTGGGATTCGTCAGCTGGATATACTTTCATCCCAGAGTTGAAGTTTATTCTAAGACTCGAACCCAGTACAAAATGAACTTAAATAAAATGTTGTTAAATTGATTTCATTTTTCAACTTAAAAATAAACTTACCTTTTATAATTTATTTAGGCTGTCAACATAAACATTGAACTATGAAGATCAAAGATAATGATCAATGCAACTTATTTAGGAAAATATATCCTTTCCTACGCATAGGACGAAATGTGCGTCCTGGATTCCACTGCTAACCACTATCCATCATTGCTTACAAAAAGCTTGTGAATTAAGGCAATATCGAGGCATACGCACAGTATGCACATATGCCAATAACAGACTGATCAATCGCAGTCCTAAATAACGATGAGAAGATACAAGCCAAACAATACCAAGTGAATATCCTTTCCTATCTTATATTATTTTAATCATGATGTGATAATATAGTAGATACTATATATTATAATTGTTGGACAATTGATGAGTACATTCAATTTCATACAATATAATAATACTAACTATATGTTTCATTTATATAAATAAGTCAGGTTGTAAATGGTCAATGATAATGGGTTCCGTTTAGCAAAACAGAGTTAATAACTATTTATTTAAGTTTATCCATTTCACCCCCTGATTTTTAAGTATGACTATAATTAGGCGATACAGTGAATGAACAAACATATGTATTTAGTTAACATAAAATTAAAAACTAAACAATATTTAGGTAGCAATTAAATATGGAATACTACATCACTTGAATTATAGGTATGTTGCGTATATATGCATTTGATATTCTGGAAATAATACATAATTTTCCTTTGATAAAGAATTTATTTGTTTGATGAAGAATCCTGGTAGGTAGCTCATGCTCCTCCACGAGAGATGACAGGCGTAAGTAAGTAGGTAAGTCGACTATGAATGTGGAAATATATCATTTGATAACTTTTAAATACCATTCCAATTAATCATTATTCTGTATAAACATATGACCAAATTGTCATCTATAAATATTTTAATTTATGGAAAAGTCTCTTTTCTTTTCTCTCATCTTAAAATATAATGTATACTAGTGTATGTTCAATTTGATGATCCGTGTGATTAAATGTGTTAATTTGATCCAACCATTTCAAATTGGTAAAAATTGGTTATAAGAAAAACTAAACGATGCTGTTCAACAATTCAACGATTTCCAGCAAAAACAGCCAAGCGTAATAACTTTGGAGCATGAGATAAATTTAAATAATTTATAGAGCTGATCGGTCATAATCAATAAACTTCATGAAGACTGTAGAAGATCTCACGAAGAAAACTGATTATGCAGAACAATGTTATCCATACTCAGTAGTGAATTGAATGCTTAAATAGCTAGACAGTAATGGGTTAATTCAAGGAATGGGTGAAGAAAAATCAATCAACTGAGGTTATATTAAATAATAACAAATAAGGACGTCTACTTAGCTTTATTTGGTCGAGAAAGAGATGAAAATGTCATAAATCCCCTATAAATAGAAAAACGTTAGATGTTAGCTTCTGCTATATATAAAAGACGAGATCAAACCCTATAAGGAAAAGTAGAAGATACAAAGTAAATTAACTTGGATGATTTGACTCCTTTCTACTGTATAATAGCTATCGACCAAGTATAATAGAATGGAGCTGTTAATTGTTCTTATCACATCCCTTTTTATCCAATTACGAAGAGGGGTTTTTGTCAGCTTATTGGTTCAATTACCTGGTTATAAAGTTAATAAACAGTAAGATAAAGCATAATATCAACTAAGCCAGAAATATAAATTCAAACTGAATTAACTTGCTTTAGATATAAATTGAATAATAATTGTCATCAATGTATGGTAATTAAAAGATTGTTTACCCATAAATTAGCTAATTCACTTATTATTTTTGGCCTTCAGATTTCATAATTAAATCATATTTTATCTTTTAAACGTGTCTGTCATAAATTCTCACTTATGTAACTTCAATTCATTTAGTCTAATGCATTAATTATAGATAAACATGCACTTAAATCATCAATCAAGTACATAACAGCAAATTGAATCATTAATTTAGTTATCTCTATTAAATAGTTATGGTGATATATATATATTTCATTCTCATAAGTAATACATTTTGGTATAAATTTCAATTAACCTGACATATTGAAGTAGTCGTTATTTATCTTAGATTTGTCATTTCCAACTACGGAATTCATCGATCATTTCTATACATTCAAATGATAATTAATTATTGCATTGAATACATTATTGAAAATAGTTATTTACTTAATTTTTTTGATTACATAAATATTGATACAAAGGGGTACCGAATATATATGAGCCACACAAGTCACTTGATTTATGTGTGGGCTATAATACTGCTGGGGTGCTCAAACCGAAGCCCACACGCGAAGTCATTGACCTGAAGGTCTGATTCACAAGTCAGTGTAGCAATGTCAGGAGATACAGTCCCATGGTAGTCGGTGACCAACAATCGGTTCATACACCGTTTAGTACTCCAGGATATTGGAGCCCATGTGTAACATTGATTTTGGAATGACAGTTTTCACGCTCGCCTAGGTGGACTCTCCGTGTCCACCAACACGGTTAAAGCGCCGGACATTCGCTTTTCGTCCTCTCAATTTCGTAGACAACACCCCCTCCATAAGAATGCAGTGAGTAGGACTTTCCTGACAGTGGCTGTATACTTGTGGCCATGTGAGAGCATTTGGAGAGAGAGATCTGACTCTCCCCACTATCGGCCGTACCAGCGCATTTGGAAGCTATTGAAAATAAGCTTTATATTATACTGTTTACTGAACTGACTGCTTTCTAATCTAATAAGGTTTATGTTTGTAGTTCATAATTCAGTATTGCATCGCATTATTCTTCCTCTTTTGCGTGTTTAATTTAGAAAAAAATATATACTTCTCGCTGTTATTGTAATAAAATGTTAACTAATATACTCAAGTTAATGAAGTTTATTTCTGATGAAATTGTGAAAGGTTTTCACTACTTCTGTTAAAACATTATATATAGACTACGTTAATTTTCCCGTCATTTTTTTAAACATACGTTTATAAATTCACTTAAGTATTGTCTGCTTGTATCTTCTCATCGTTGTTTAGGACTGCGATTGATCAGTCTCTAGGTGGAATATGTGCATCCTGTGCGGAATGCCTCGATACTGCCTTAACTCACAAGCTTTGTAAGCAAAGATGGGTTGTGGCTAGCAGTGGAATCTAAGATGCGCGTTTCATCCTATTTGGCACTCGTCAGCTAGACGTACCTGCATCCCAGAGTTGATATTCACTCGAAGACTCAAACTCAATATCGTTCGGCTCAAACACCATCACGTTATACACTTAGCTACTGACTGTTATAACCTGTCAGTTGAATGCTGCTTGTTTTGGTCGTCGCTGATTGTTATGTCGGAAACGCTTATCACCTATACTCGGAACGAGGGACCTCCTCAATTCCCACGACGCGAAAGTAAGAACAAGAAGACTGGTATAAGTGAAGATTTATTAACCCTAAAACATGACAACGATGAAGATCCTAGTCGAAAATACACTCATTTATATATTGATTGCACACCCATTTTGATTGATAATTAGGATGAAATCACATATATGAAAAATACTTAGAGTTATATCAAATCACATACTGAGTATAGTTTGTGTCAATGGAATACAAGAATATCGTATATCATAAAAGAAAATAATTACTACATCGAGTAATAATTACATTGAATCAAAACGGAAGTAATGTTGAACAAAACTCACCATATCACTGACGCCGTCCTGGATTCCACTGCTAGTCACTATCTATCATTTATTCATAAAGCATACAAATTACCTTCAGTGTGCTTGGCAACTAAAAGATATGAACTTTTGTTACTGAGTATAGAACTATTAACACATAAGTGAAATAATAAAAATATTGAGGTATTATTATTAGCTTTATTTAATATTATATTTTTGGTATAATATAGAATTCCCAGCACAAGGTATTTCAACAAGTTTCTGCTTCTTATTTATTTATTGATCCTGATGATAAATATTAAATGATCGACAGTTGGATGTAAGCAGTTTAGGAACAATATACATTCATTTGCGATGCATAATTCCAGCAACTATAATATCTCTGATTGGGCTTTTTTCTAACTTGTACACCCAAAGGTCGTGGACATTCCATAAACTCGCTTGAATAGGTTGTGCCATTAATTGACATAATGATCTGTTGAAACAAACAAAAGACTGATAAATTATTGAAATATCTAGATGGTAAGAACAGGTAGTCTAGATATTCAAGCAGACCACCAAAGATGCTGTTATACTGAATGAACAAACCTCTGCCAAAACGCTTTAATCACCCATAATAACAAGTGAAAGACATTTGTTTAAATAACGAATAAAAATCAATCAGTGTAATCTAAAATCTTTGTCTTATATTCATTTACATATATCGTATCCTTGATTTACAAGTACTATTAAAAAGGTTAAAGTTGACCAGATTAAACTGTAATATCAATAGTTTGGAGTTCATAACAATTATTACTAACTTGCAGTTAGACTACATCACTTTCTTAGATCATGGAAATTACTTATAGAACAGTGCTACTTCAAATGATTCATGAAGTTTAATTAGTAGTCATTTCTTAAATCTTAATAAACAGTGATGGATGATGGTTAGCAGTGGAATCCGGGACGTATG